TGGCAAAGGAAACCAAGGAGAGAAAGAGAGAATGTAAGGAGGGTGGGGATAGCTGTCGCTCGCCCGGGCAGCAGACGTCTTCTGACCCGGCCGGTGGCTCAACTCGACTCAACTAGACTCGGCTAGGAGAATAGCGAGGGGTTGCTGTAGCACAGAAGGAGAGTGGGTGCATTGCTTTTCACGGGAGGCGCCACTCGCGTGGCCAAGGGGTGAGGTGGTGGCGCTACGACGAGGACGCAAAGAGTGGTAAGCGTATCGATCCGGACGAAGCTTGGCTGACGGCTGACGAGGCCGTCACGCGAGACGAGTCGAGACGAGACGGACACAGAGAAACTCCATCCCCACCTGTACCTTGGCTATATAACGTCCAAGTTAACGGTGGCCAAGGGGAGGTTGAGTGGCTTCCAACACTCACACGCGTCTTCTTTTCCCTTTATCCTCATACCGATACAACTACCCTTACACGTGTGTATATCACCAGATACGTATGACTGATGCCGCTTCCTTATCCTTATTTTTCTTCCTTTGTCATTCGCATTAAATAACCAACTTGATATTTTTAGTTATAAACACCGTAGGATACGATGGGTAGTCCTTATTTGTTTGATATTCATGTCTTTTTTATTACGTTAGGATAATCGAGCGCTACTGGTTTGGATAAGTGGGTTTGACTTGAGAAGAGACAGAGGTTCCCTTAAGTGTGGTGAGAGAACTAGTACATGTAGAAACGGTATGAGTGAACGAGAGGATAAGCGACACGAGGAGAGGATACTTGTGTTCGATTGCTTGTGTCGAGGCGTCGAGGGACTCTTCTTCTGAGGGATAATGGAATTTCCATCGTAATGGAGATCTCTCTGAGACGCGTTTTGTCCGTTGGTCAGTGTTTATGTTTATGTCAGCTCCTGGATCAAGTGGATTTACCCCCGAACCCCTGCTACACATATAACCATTGTATATTTGTCGAAGGTTTTAGAAAATTTACATTTATTTATTGACGCTTTTACTTTTATTCATTTGATTTTTTTAATATTAAATAATAACACATTTATTTTGAAGAATCATATCAAATAGAAAGACATGTGAGGCATCTGAATATAAACTAGTTTATAATCCAGTTAGTCATTATTAGGATTTATGAATTGTTAATTCACTGATGTATCTTGGTAATTTAAAGATAAAGGTGATTAATTGAAAGGATCATATCACATGATGTCTTCACTGGCGGTTAGACATCTCTTTGATGTGCTAGTACTGGTGGATTTAAAGTGTTAGTTCTGTCCTTTCGTATTTTGCTTCTTACGACACACACCAGTCTTTTTATCTCTCGCTCTCTCATGGTCTCTCTATCTTGCTTATACTTTCAACCTTTTCTCGCTCTCCCGCTACGTTTCCATGACTCTCTGGCTTTAGACACCAGGCATCGGGTATTCGTCATCCGGCCATCTTTTTCTTAAGACTAATTTATTAACACCGCGACTGGGACTCAAAAACGTTGGTCTCCTGCCGTGGTAGTATGGCTCGACCAATCTTTATAAGTTTGTAACCATACTGCACAGATCTTTCAACATGACATTTTCCTTTTTCAAAACTATCAGTTTAAAGATGGCGACTATGAAGAGATCAACTGGTATACAAACTTTTTTATTTATCTCTGAAAAAAAATGCGTATCAATAAATATATTGAATATTTTTTTTTTAGAAAAAAAAAATGTGAAACAAATATTTTTTTAAATGTTGATAAAAAATGAATTAATTTGTAACAGATACTGTTAGTATTTATTTTATTATTTAAATTAAAATAAACAATTTAGACAATGATTTTTGAATTATCTATTGGTTTTTGTATCAATAACTTTAATAGTTTCGATTCAAGTTGCCAAGCTAAGTAAACCTAGTGATGTCGCCTGGTACAGTCAAGTTAAATCTCTAAAGTATGTGAATACCTTCAATACTCGGTCAATCTTTACATTACACGGAAACCCATTGCGTAAACTTTCACTCTGAACAATAGGACCAAAGATTTAGTTCTCGGCTTTTTCTGGAATTTCAAGGACAGAGTCATAAATCTGTCACTTGCCAGAGGAAAAATCAGTATCTACCATGCTTGCCCTTCGGATAACATGTAATGCTTTTTTTGGTAGACAAAAGAGATGAACTATGTTTTTTTTTCTTTTTTTTTCTTAAAAAAAGAACTAAAAAAAAGTGAAAATTTTCCGTTTTAAATTAAATATACAACCGTGAATTGATAAGAGAAGTCGATCTTGGTGGGAGAAGTAATAATGGCAGTTTGAAATCTAAATATAATATAAAATAACAAAGACAGAAGCCATTTAAATAAATCATGCAATTCTTTCGGCATATCACTCATTTTCAGTGTCGGTAAGATTGGTTGCAGAGCGTCGTTAATGCATCGTGATGCTCCTTTCATTCGTCTATCCAGAAATAAACTGTTCTGAAATCTCGAATGAGTCAACCACAGTAAAAATGAGTGTTCATTTTTATCAATGAATTTTCAACTGAGAATGATTTGATGTCACCAAGTGTAGATACTATTAATGATTCATGATGTAACAATTTATTAATGAAATAATTTAACACTTTTAATAACAAATAGAATAATAGTAATTTATACTTTCAAACAATAAATGTACTTTAAAAAACGATCATTTAGTATAAAAAATATATTTATGTAATGATGTCCAGTCTCAAAGTTAAAAATAAATATATTCGACGTCTTCACCCTACAAGACTTGTGAAAGATTAATCGCCTGAGAATCAAAAGGGAATGCATGCTTGCTGAAATTTATCGCAGCCAGTATATTTCTTTGGTACGCCCACATATGTCTTGATATCCACGTCATAGAAGAGGAAGCATACCTATATTGAAGTTATTCTCGCATTTGAATATCTACTGTAATATTGTTTATTATTTTATTTATCCTGCCTGCATATAAACCTACATTTATCTCTTCAATTTGGACGTTTAGACTAAAGTAGTTGTGTGTATATACCTTTCACTCTTTAACCGGACACGATAAATTAAGTAGAGAAATTAAACGCCTCGGTAATCAAAGATTTTTTTATCTCCCGTTCAAACTTTCGCTGATGGTTCTATTATTTATACATTGTACTATTTTTCTTCCCAATATTACATTACATATAACATTGGTACTTAAATAGTAATTAAATTCAAAATAATTTGAAATAATTTTTATAAAGTTGGTATTAATTAATGATTTATTAATAAATTAATAAATAGAATTATTGTTTTCTTTTATTTGGAAAAGTGTTATTTAAAATATTGAATAATTTATATGTTCGACTTGTTGTCTCGACAGAATATATTTTTTATTAAAAATCGTCCTGGACTAGTTATAGAATTATTTGTGTTAAAAAATTGAAAAAGTGCGGAGAATTTTTGCACTAACCGTCAGAAAAAAATCACTAGTAGATTTTTTAAATAATAGGAGTAAAAATATTTCTACTTGACCGTGAATTTTGAGTTATCATAAGTAATCACAATTGCGCTCAAAAATATTTTGACAATAAAAAGTTTATTATTATTGTCTTTAAAATAAAACTGCATAAAAAAATTTTTTGGATACACTAAAGAGCAGTTTGATTGTAATTTTTTGAACTCATTAAAACATTCGATATCTTTTAAAAAAAATAACATAGAAATTTTTGTGTTTCTTTTTTGTTTTAATTCATGCAATTAATATCTTCGTCAAAATACTTTTGATCGTTACTGTATTCATTAAGACACTTTGTAAATATCCAATTTAATTACAAGAACTCAAAATTTACTGTCTAATAAAAATATTTTTACTTCTAAATCGAGTTTCAATTAAGAGACATATCCAAAAATGAATTAATTATGCAGCATTACACTTAAATATTAAATACTTTGTTTTACTTTTATGAACTTTCAAATTATATTAAATGTTTTTTACAAAAAAAAAATATGTAAGAAAAGAGTTCTGCAGCATGGAGTATACAGAGTATATTAGAATTTTTTTAATGCTGATGTGGTTTTGTCAAGTGACACTATGTCCATACATACACTTACGGCGATATGTTCTCGTATTTTGTAAAAGACACGTAAAGAATTTAAACCGCGTCTCGGTTGAGTCGGCTGTCAGGTGAGTTCGATTTATGTGCACGCCGATCCGACGAGTGATTCACTAGTGGGGATAACCACGACTCGGCAAGAAAGTTACTGCGTTAGCGCCCTGAAAACGCAGTCTCGAATTTTAAAGGCGTCATAAAGCACGCCAAGAGTGACAATAAATTATCCTAAGCCCATACACTTTGAAAAGTTACACTTTGATTAGCCTTTGCGGTCGATCTAATATTTTGCATCGTTAGACATAATTACCTTGCAGGTCAATGAATTAATTTATTGAATTATTACAAGCGTAATACTTATACTCCTAGGAGAATAATAATTTTCAAAGATTACCATAATACTAAATACACACATGTTTTAAGTTATTAAAAAAAAAAAACAGAAAAATGTAGCCTATGTAGTTGAAGTATATTACTATTTCTGTTTTTTTTTCTTCTCAACGAGCGCATACTATAGTAGTTCTTGACTCCAAGAAACTTTACTAGTGTAGAGTCTTCCGTTGTAAGATTTATGTGCACACTCAAGCTACTGGAGCAGGATTTACCGGTGAACAAACACAACGTGCATACCATAGGCTTAAAGAAAGAGAAAACTTCTCAACTCTCAGGTTCGTTCTGACAAACTTTATCCACAAGATACAGTTTTACTCGGATCTATGTATATGTTATAATACGAAGATTGTTTTCGCCTCTTGAAAACCCACGTGGGGTAAAGCAACGTGCTGCGCGGTACATCGAATCAACAAACTCTAACTTTTATTTCACGCACATATTTCATTTTCACAACAGTTTTGTAGTACGATTTATCAAGTTATTACATGCAATATCTAATTATTTAAATGAAAATCAATAAAAATATTAAATAGACTTACATTTCATGCGTTGCGGTGCGTGTTGTTTTCTTCGAGGCATCTGTCTTTATCAAAATTGAATGACAATTGAAGTTTAAACGGTTATTTTTGATGTCAATGAAAGTCTTGGTGATTTATAATTACTATCAAATCCGTTAACTGACAAATTATCTGTCGAAAATTTCGATGACATTCATTTCCGAGGTATGTGCACTGATATTATCTTCATCATCCAACGTCATTCAACGCTTCAATTCTATTTTCACTAATGTTAAAACTCGATCACTCTCACACTGATCTACTAAAATAGCTCATGTCACCAATTATATGTTGAGAAACTTTATACACTATATTGTAAAGCACTAACTCGTCTCAGAACATCAAGATTGCTGTCACACTTCAGACTTTTCTTCCGTTCATTGATTTTCTATCAACTCGAGGATTATTTAATACCACTGACACTCTGATTATTGGAAAATAGAAAGAGATCAAATGTGTTGCATTAGGTACATCCTCGAGGTTGATTAATGTCTACCTTTCCTGTCATTGTCACTGTTAGAAAATTTGGTCCACACACATTATGTTCAACACTATGCCATTTTTTCATTTTAAATTTACTCAATAATACATTATTATTTACCACTATTGTAACATTTATTTTTCCCGCCAATCAATTTAGCGCGACCATTTACATTGAATTGTTGGAAGCTTAGGTTGATTTGAATAAACTTATGTCTGTACAGTAATTCTACAATACATCTTGGTTGGAAAACTTTTGAATAATAAGTTAGAAAAAAGCCCACAAATAGTTGTATACTCGGTAAGAGAATGATAATAGTTTCGAATAAATGGTGTAATACACAGTTCGTATCCACTACGGTATATTTTGGCTAAATGGATGCAGCGCGATATGAAATGATTAATGTAATTATTAAGCCCGCACGAGCTTTTCAAAACTCACAACGTGAAATTAGAAATTGAGCGGGCGGCGGTCCAGCGCTGACTGACTGCAGACTGGCGTCACGGCAAAACGGCGTGTGGTGGGGGAGGTTTTCGCTCCCTCGATCCTCCCTCTCGTGCTTGCTCACCAACTGATCCGCCCTCCTCCTCCTAACGCGCGCTTTTTCTTCCTCACTCACGCGTCAACTCTTTCTTCCGTTACAAATTCAAAGTTATGGGGACAACATATAAGACTTATCAAAAAAGGTCTTCTTAAGTATTTATATTATTTCACAATTATTATTATTATTATTATGATCATTCATGAAAAATATTATCTCAAATTACTCAAATATCACTCTGAATTTTAAAAATCTTTGTGATTGATTCAATAATTTTTTTTCTCTTCATTATAAATATATATTTTTAAATAAAATAATATATAAAGAATGTTGAATATTTTTAACTGCAATTATCGTACGATAGAAAATGTATATAAAAATTTGATATCGTTGTACTTTTCGTAACGTTCTATTGCCAAATAATATCAAGTTATCCATTTATATATTGATACACAGTTTTTGATTGCTTTTATAACTTACAGAAAAATACACAGTGTATAGAATAGAGTAAAGTCTGTTAAAAAGAAACATACTTGGAACAGAGCCTGTGAGCAAAACATAATGGGCGGGATTCCGTACTTTGATCACCATGGAGCAGGACAAAAAGGCGGGCTCCACCTTCATCCCCAAGTGCTGCTCCTCACGGTGACGTTGGAACTACGGTTGCGCGAATCGTAACTCGTGAATCTTTCGAATTTTCGTTTAAAAAATCATTTTTACGTGCTTTTAATTAAGTACAACAGCGAAAAACCATTTGGACAAATCTTTTATTCACTTTTAAGGTAAAATTTCGACTTATTTGATTATTTATATGACTAAAATATCAAAAAACACGATTATAACCTCTAATTTGTAATTTATTATATTTCAGTATACTTGACCATTGGAGTAATATATATCTTCGTAAAATTAATCTTCTGTAATCACGTAAGTATTAAAAGTAGTAATCTGAAGTAGTTTATGAAAAAATTCAATCGGTTGATGCGTTGTTTTTGTGGTTTAACTGTTCTAGAGATTAATTATAAATATGACCGCGGCGTGGCGCTACGCGACGACCGTGGAATAAAACTCCGCCTCTTGACGGGGCAAGTAGGTGGAGTTTGGGTGATCTATAGCGTCATAGAGTACCCCCTTTTAGTATTTCGCGATATAGGTTCGGAATAGCATAGCACGCCCACAATGCAGATTGCGCGCACAGCCTCAGCCCCATCGGCTGAATGTTTATGTTCGGTAACCGTGTCTCTATCTAGTCACCGACTTTGCGCTTAGCTCCACCGCAATACAACGCACGCTACATATCTGCTCTTCGCTTCTTTTACTCCCGCGCTTATCCACGGCGTTCATTACTCTGTTAAACATTCCTGTCAATTAAAAGTGCAGAGACGCCGATTTAGTGGCGATCGTTGCTTCGTGTGACATTCAAGTATTCCCTAAATGAAACATGTCGTTATTAGATTTTTTTTACATCTTTCTCATATCATTTATCAACCTGTTGTCATTATGATACTACTGTAAATTTCAGTTTTCTTTCTGTTTATTTATGATGGTTTTCATATTGGTTTTAAATATTTAAAGGAGGTAAAATTAATTTATTTGTATATTTAATAACATTTTAAAAAATGTTGTAATTATTATTAAATATTAGACTTTCAAGTTGCGATAGGATTTAAAAGAATCACCAATTTTTTTATTCAATTAAGAAACGTGTGATTTCATGATGACCTTGACTACATAATTGAAAAAAAAAAACTAAATTAATTTAACATGACAATTGATGGAGTGATTACACTAACTTGATTTCTTGTGAATATGCTACAGATTTTGTTGATATTGTAAAATAATTGTATGTCTTCATCAACATGATAATTGACAAACGACAGAATTTGTTATTAACAACGCTTGTGCATATTAGACTTTTTCCTTAATTATAAAATCTTTGCTATCATTTTTAATGAATTATTCCTTCTAAAATATCTCGATTCGTATTATTATTTTACAATTTTATTTTTCTTACCGGTGACAAAAATATTCCTTACAAATCAGTGAGCACACTGTTTGCAGTTATAACAATTGCACTGATTTAAATAGTAATACTTTTATAACTGCAAAATAGTAGATATACACTGTTTCGGAGTGGTTAGAGAGTACGGACAATACTGCAAATCCAAGTGCATTTTTGTTACACATCTAAACGTGTTAAATATAACGTCACCCACTTAATTAACATTGTAATCACTTTTAGGTGTGTAAAAGTTTTGATTCGAGTCGAAATTGGACTATTATATTGAGAATTTTTATTCTAAAGGAAAATTGTTGTTCTAATTATTTATTTATTTAATATAAAAAATGTGTACTAATTTTAAACAATGATTATGAATGAATGAAACGAAAAAAAATGCTCTGAAGATATTTGTAGTAAACTAAGATTTGTTTTATAAATATTTTTAAAATAAAAATAATTTTCCGACTATTTTAGAATATTTAATTAGAAGACTTGGCAATGCATGGAATAGTGTTGAACAAGTCTGTTTAGTAGAATTCCGTCGGCATGCGAACGAGCGATTTGTTTAAAAGTCCATGACGTCTATGTTTTAATGTAAAAGAATCGCAGGTGGACCCCCGATGGAGATTGACTTTGAATCTATCGAATTTTGTACATGCTACACATACAAAAGTTCAAGTCTGTGTTATATATTTTTTCAATCGATAAATATTTTAATATACGTATACGTGGGCGATGATATGACTACGAGCAAGCATCTCGGAATTTTGTCGATAACACTCGTCCAAACGATTTAATTCACCATCGAGTTATAATAGTCGAGATTTACGTGATGTGGGCGTGAAATTTTATCAAGATTTATGTTTGCTCTTCTCTTAAATGTTCATACAGCAATTGAACCAATAAAATTTCCTGATTTCCCTTCAGATTCTTATGCGTTTTTCTCAATATTCAATTTCATAAATTGTTCCATATATATATATTTTTTTTCAATAATAAATACATTATTTATTATTTTAGTCAATTTAAAAAAAAATTACAATAACTTCCTAATGGGAAGTTAATAATTTACAGAGAAAATTGTATTGTTATATAAATAAAAATTTCTAAACATAATTTTTGATTTTCAATAATTATTTTGCTTTGAGCATATTAATGAATGCTCATTAGAATTTTACACTTGTTTCAAAAGTACCCTGCTCTTCATGAATTAAATTTATTATCCGTTGTAAATTTGAACAAAAAAAAAGTCTTTTAACTGATCGGTTTTTACTGATCGCTTTTTCTTTAAAAGTTATTTTTTCTTTCGTGTCCACATAAATCCTTCAAGTAATAATAATGTTAAGACTTGAAAAATACTACTACATTGCCTTAAGTTTTTTTTCATGTCCTCCACACGGATATTTAGAGATATATATATACATGTTTCAAGGACGATATCGTATCTAATGGATACCTACTGTTGGATTTTTTAAAGTCAGGTATAAAATTCAGAAGAAAAAAGTGATCTCTCTTTCTTAAAAAGCTGGAAAATAGCCATTTAAAATTGGTAGGGAGGGACATTTGCAACTCTGGTGGTCTTTCGTACGTGTTCACTATCTTACTTGCTACTTCATTATTTTTCTTATTAAATAATTGATTTATTTACTATATATTAACACACATCATTGCAAATAAATCATTAGATATCTTTAATCATCTCATCAAAAGGTAATCTCATTCAAAAGTAAAATAAGAAATAAGAAAATTCTATTGATGACCGGATATAAATAAACTTAAGGTACTCGTTAGACGAATAAAAGTTTTATTACCCTATCGTGAGATCGTTTTCCCTTAGATACAGAAGGGTACAAAAGAATAAAACTTGAGCGGCAATTTTTTTTTCTTCTCTCATGAAACTTTTGCGCAGCTACTTGAGTGCTTTCACTCGACAACTATGTGGACATTATATGCTATCATATTATAATTCATTGATTTCAGTAGAAAATCATTTTTCCACATGTTTATTAACATAAATATTGTCTGCATTTCCATCTAAAATTTATGATTAAATTCCGATATTGTTATGTTGAAATATAAAAAAATTCATAAATGGTTTACATTATGGTCGAATTTTTAGTGAGGCGGTGTTCCCTTACAAATTTTTTAATGACAGATAACTTGTAAATAATGAAAATCAAGTAAAAATTGTTGGAATAAAAATTGTTCCCCTTAGAACAAGGGACATTTTTTGTTCAAACTATTTTTTACCATCTATAATAGTTCAGCGAAAAATTGCGTTTAAACAATTAAATTATTTATAACTAAAGAACGGACCACTCTATCGAAAAAATACCAACGGTTTTGGATTCTGCAGCTAAAAATCTATTGAAATAGCCAAAGACATCGCATGGACCTCAATTTTATAAATATTATATACAGCTCTTACAGCTGGATTGTGGATCATATACCAACTTTTAAATTCTTTTTATATTAACAATTTTTATTACAAAATATTTTTTATTTTTCTTCTCTCTGTGTTCCACGTGTTCCTTACCTAAGTAGGTATCTTCTATTGAAAATAATTATTTAGCACCGAAAAAAACTCGTTTGACAAAAAGTATTTTCATGAAAATTAAATCCATATGTCTGCCAAATGTACATCTTTGAAATTTATTAGTTTCATAATTTTCAGACAAAGAATTTTTTATTCTCGTAAGTCGAAATATATTTTTATCAAGTCTTCATGGTTAAGCTTTTGCACGTGGTTGCAAATCATAATAAATCTATTTTATAAAGGACTTTTCTCTGAATTCAATGCAATCAAAGTCAGTTAATGAAACCAAAATTGAAAATAAAAATTTTATATTGATTTAATTTAATTTGTAAATTGATCACCATTTTATGTAATAAAAATACAGTCGCAATCAAAAGTATTGTGACGAGTACATTAATTGCATCAATCAAAAGAAACAAGAAACACAAAAATTAATACATTATTTTTTTTAAAAGATATTCAATGTTTTCATGCTTTCAAGAAATCATAATCAAACTGTTCCTTTCTGTATTCAAGAAATTTTTCGATGCAATTTTATTTTAAAAAAATAACAAATTTTCTATTGTCAAAATAGTTTTCAGCGTCTTTGTATATTAAAAAAAATCAAAGCTTTTTTTTAATGATAGAGGTATTAAGTATTATTTAAGTATAAGCATAAACATATATTAAATAATAATAAAGTTTCTAATGTAATGTAAAGTATTGTATATAAGGATTTATATTGTTGTTGTATTAGTAATTAAATTAAATTAAATAATAGCCAAATATAACGATAAAACATTATTTTTATAAGAATAACGTACTTATTCTTCAGAGGATGCATTGTATTCATGTGTTTATAGGTTCATACAAAGTCTTTTCCCATTGAGTAGAAAAATTTAAAAGGGGTTCATGTTGGAAAATTCTTGTTCGATACAGTAAAACTTGTAAAGGTCCTCTCGTTAAGAGTATTCATTGCACACATAGTAATTTTAACGATCGCGATTTTTGATCACCCGGCCACAGAGATAAATTGATTAAAAATGAATAGATTGAACGAGATAAAATTGAAGTAAATCGTGAATTTTTCGTAATTGTGTTCAAACTAGTTGGAAGTTATTAGCGAAATACATTTCTCTCAATGTAGAGTGCTATTAAAAAATAATACCTCAAAAAAGTTAAGTAAAAAGTTAATTTACTCAAAGCTTGAGTGCGCATTTAAGAGAAGCCAAGAGTACACACATTGAGTAGATGAGATTTTGTCACGCTACAGCTTATACTATTGGCAATAAAAAGGCGGCTTGGTAGACTACGAGTTGTTAGGATAGATGAAGAAGTGGGTGAGGGAGAAGAGAGGTAAGAGGGCGAGAAAGAGAGAGAAAGTCTAAACGGGCAAAGGAAATCGTCTGCAGAGAGTGAAGGAGGAAAAGGAGTTGTAGAGAAGCGCAGAGGAGAATGTGAAGTCCGTCCGTATCGATCGGGCGTCTGCGGTAGATTGACACGTGTCATGGCCGCTTCTCCTCTTTCTCTCGATGAAACGCGAGACGAGACGAGGCGAGACGTTTTGGGGAGAATGGCGATGGTAGAGTGGGTGGATGGCGCCGGGTGTTGGAGGGTTCGGGAGCGAGGACATTAAGGTGCGTAATAGCCAGCGGGGCGAGCGCGCACCACCGCGGCATCGATTAGACAGAGGCTCGCTCACCCTCTTGCTAGATGCAACTACGTCCCTTTCCGCTCTTCTACCACCCCCTCCGATTTCGTCTCCTTCCAACGTCCAAGTCGAGGGCCATGAGTACGTGCTCTACATACACACAAGCTTACGTCACTTTTGTCCTGCCACTAGTTGTACTTGTGTGCACACATATACTCACTTACTGTTCTTCTTGTCCTCCTACACTCACCACTGCATCCATCTCTATCTTCTCTTTTCATGACACACGCATTGTCCAGGGTCACCGCTGTCTAATGTCGTTAGGCACATTAGCAAACCAACTCTATCAATATTCCGACAACCTTATGGTCACTGCTGTGCTTTTATCAACTCTTGTAATCAGAAAATTCACCCACGAGAAAAGCATTTTTTCAAGTAAAAAAGAAATCAATTCTAATTCAATTTGGTTAAATTGTATCAGAAATTTTACCACACTGTTCTCTTGAAGCTTGTCTTGATCACTTGTATATAATAAATTGTAAATATAATATCAATTCGAGCTTTAATCTTGACGATATGTTTATATATAATGACATCAAAAAATAGTATGAAGTAAAAGAGAATCTCAACTTAAAATGAAAAGGTTATAACCTTTGTAAATGTGCTGACATGGTTACTTGGTAGAGCCTTAGCTTTAAAATCCATCTATGATCATCTAGCGATTTTCATGATTTGGTCAATTCACGTAAAAGGTAGGGTAGCTTGGAAGGGAACTGGTTAAAAAAAAGAAGTAGATTTTGTGGAAATGATCAGAGGTTCACTCAATCGAAATCGTTCAATTTCATTTGACGGCTCCCAAAAGATTTCTTTTCTTTGTCTATCATCTCTACAACTGACTTAACGTCAGCTTATATCTATAGATATATCTGATATAGTTGTGTAGGGAAGACACAAGTTGATAGTTTGAGCTAAGAAAAGGTAACTATAGTCTTACCAAAACTGTATCCAATTAAATATCCAACTCATTATCATTGTCATTATCAAAATGAGGGTAGACATTCCATTATCTTTCGCATACATTCACGTAATGATCCCAATTCGAAATTACGGTCTTTAGTTGTTTATTTTTTAAACTGATTACAGATTCTTTTCTCTTTGCAAATTCAAATGTTCTCTAATAAGATTTACTTGGAATTGTAATATTTATTTTTAGATTTTACAATTAAATAACAAATATCTATCGAATATTTGTGCACTGAAAATAAATTTTGCTATACAACAAAATTTTAATTTTATTGATAAAAAAAATTTGAAATATTCGCAATAAAATGATTCGCAATTTGATTAAATTTAACAAGAGGTATTTTGATATTTAGTTCAAGATTATGGTAAGTATGGTAATTTGAAGTGACATTAGATTAATTCTTACTCTCTGAGACAACATGGATGTTGTAAAAAAAATGGTCAATTCTATTAAACATTACTCAGATAATTATATTCAAAAAAATCGAGCACAATAAAAATGGATCATCAGCTGTCATCTTTCTTTAAATAATAATAATTAAAATAGAATAGTAATAAAAAATTTAAACATTAGCTCAAAAGCAACACCTTATTATTTCACATTTTGATTTTATTAATTAAAAAAAACATTATTTGTTCACAGTAAGTTTTTTTCTCATTGTATGTTTTAATTAGTGTATGATATTCATTATTCAATAGATTACAACAGATTAGAAAAATTAGTAGAACCATCAATACACTTATACATCAATTTCGCGTTTATCATTTTCATTATAATTTTTTTTTAATGACAAGATAAGATTAATATCGACCCTCATATTCGTTCAATCATCATTCTTGCTATAATTGACAGTTTTCTATTTGTTCAAACATAACGAAAAATATGTTCATTTTTTAATTAGATTATCAAAAAAAAAAAAAAAAAAACAATAAAATTTACCTAGATTTGAATGTTCAACAAGTTTCTACTTCTCTTTGCTCGATTCATGACACGAGTACGAAGTGGTCGCCAGCCATCCCAACTAGCAAACATGACTCTCGCTTCACAATGATGTGTTATTTGATGAGTGAAACATAGAGACAGATGTGTTGTACTTTTTCCTCATATTTCCTAACAATAATCTAACTGAAGGATAAAATGATTAATCCCTTACAGTAATCAATCATAGTATTATGCTATCATTGGTTTGAGTATAAATTTTTTTATTTATCTGTTATGCTTATAATTGACCAATATAAATAATTGTAACAAAAAAAATAATACCTTTCGAATATTCTCAAAAAGCACAAACGAAAAACAAAATAATTATTTAGTATGAATAATAATTGATAAAAATATATTATGATTATTTTTTGAACTTTTTTTCATAAGTAAATATTAAATTAATCTAAGAATTGAATGACTGAAATTTTTATTTTTATTTATTGAAAACAATTATCTATCGGATATTAATTTTTAACGAACTGAGGTTAAGTGATGCAGAAGAACGTTTTGGTTTTAATCGACTTGACTTTGTGTGGAGTCAGTGACTTGAGCGTACTTCTGAGTTTGAAGAGAGAATGAGAGGGTGAGGGACAACGCTACGATGAGGTGGTGAGGCAAAAGCCGAGGGCAAGCCAGAAAGTAAGGGAGAGAAGAGAATGGCGCAAAGTGAGACGGGTAGGGACCAGAACTGGGAGGCAAAGTGTCGTCGTCCGAATAACGGCCAAGCGGCATCGACCGATCTTCCTGCACCTCTTTCCCCTTTCATGGCCCGTACGAAGCGTCAACTTGTTTCCCTACTATTCCTCGAATATTGAGTTCAATTTGCCTGTTACTCACCGACCAATGCTATTTTCTAATACGGTTGGTCTTGCTTTTTGTACCCTCATCATACGTGTTATTCATAGATACCCTTTCATTTCACTTCTGATCTTTACATTATGATATTTTAATGATAATCATCATGTATATATGGTGATTAATCAAATATGATATATTTAATTAATAGGATTCGTTTTTTTGCTCTGTTTCAGTTGAAGACTTCAATGGAAACAAATTATGAAGATGATGATGATACACATTATTGTATCAAATGTCATTTGACGATAAGTGGACTTGATAATTACGTTCAACATCGTCAAGTTCGATGTCGACCAACAGAATCAAAAAGTGTATCCTCTGAACCACCATCAACTGAAGTTTCTTATCCAGAGATTCTCAATGCTGATGCATTCTTCAGTTCATTAGAGCTTCAAAGTAGTTCGAAATCTAAGCAAAATGTAACAAGATTTCTTGAGCCAGAAAGAAAATCTGACAGGCTCTTAGGGAAGCGGAAAAGAGCTAAAAAATATCATGACATTGAGGAATCAAACTCGAAAGAGAAATTAATATCACTGCCACCAGTTGTTACTGATCTTGATGATCCCACTGATCATATTGGCATTCCTTCACTTGTTGGCTTCCCTGATATTGTTACTTTTACAGAAAAATCATCAGCCACATCAACAAAGCTTCAGTCTACTACTGGTTCTAAACCTGTTGATAATGATAAAAAACGAAATGAAGATCATCGAGTTTGGTTGGATGATCTTGAGGACTATGATGCTAATAAGGAAACTGTGTCAACTGCAGATAGTGATACTGAATTTGCTTATCAACCTGATGATGACTTAGATGTTGAAAGTCCAGTGGATGATATTGGTCAGGATGACTCTTATTCTGAGACTGATTACCCAGATGACCGAGAATACCCTCCTCAAGCTCATACTGGAGGTAAATGGAAACCTGGTCAACTCGTTCATCATATGACAGTATCTAATGATGATGAATTGGATCAAGATGATTATCACCATGAGAATTTAGTCCCTCCACATTCTGGAGGCAAATGGAAACCTACTGAGGTAAAATAAAAGTTCTTTCAAGTAGAATACAATCAACAATTAAATTATGATTTATTAATTTAATCATAATTAATTTTCTAAGTAAATGAATTGACGTTGACCTATTACAGATTATTTCCACACTGAGTAATCATTTCCAGCTAGAACTATTTCTTTTCAATTTAATTAAATACTTAGATCTAATAAAATAAAAATGGGCCAAATTAGAAATTAGACAATAATTCTAAAGCTTTAAAAATTAAATAAATAGATATTTGCTATTACAAACTTTATAACAGTTAGCCCTTGTTATGTTTTAATTGTAAACCTTCAAGGACGCTTGTGTGAGATTTAGTAATTAAAGGATCGCGTGACACAGGGCTGTTAGGCTAACTCGACTAATTGTCGTCCTTGGATACGTAGTGGACATCGGTTGTTTCATTGATTCTTTTATCCTATCATTAGCAGAAAGCTGAAGAAGATGAGTCAGTTGAGGCTGAAAAGGAAGACGAAGACAAAGAAAGTGCATTGATGAAAAGTAGCAGACGACCACCCCTTGGCCATACTCGTGGTAAATGGATTCCTGGAGCTTCAGTTACGTCGGAAGTTGAATTGGGTTATTGGTGTGCTCCTTGTGGCCGAAAGCTTGCGTCTAAATTGGTTTACACTAGACACTTGCGCTCAGACTTACATGCTCGACGGAGTATTCAAGAGATTGAGGGAGATGTTAAATTACCACGATCAGTTGGTCCACTCTTACGCAAGAAAGATCCCAGCAGACGTCAAAAAATTCTTGCTATTGTAATTATCTCCAATTCTTAATAAATGTTCTTACTAATCAAGTGAAATTAATTTTTATTATTATTTGTATTTTTAGAAAAAGGCAGAATCGAAGAAGATTATTGTGGATAATAATAGGTCAACAAAACGGAAAAGATGTCGAGAAAAGCAAATTCTTCGGTGTGAAATGTGTCACGCTCGTGTACATCGTCCTCAGTTGGGCAAGCACCTGCTTTCTCACTACCACTGTCGTGTTGCTGGATTAAATCCCTGTAGTACAGCCGCACGACGTTTTATCCTGGAAAACATGGGTAATGTTGTTCGCCAGTGCCCATTTCAGTGCACAAGCTGTCGCTTTTACTGTAATACTGAAGACACTTTTCTACGTCACTGGCGTTCCGATCTTCATATTAATTCATGTAATGAGGTGAGAGTCTTATTATAATTATACCTTAATCAAAAAGCAGTTTGTTATAAGAAAATTAACAATCTAAATGTTAAGATAAAACGAATGATCATGACTGATACAGATAATTTTTCAATTTATTAATTAGTTATTCAAATGAATATTATAATTTTTTAAATTATCAATAATTATTTATTCAAATAATCATTTTTCAGGATGATAAAAATTACACTTGTGTATGTTGTGATTATTGGTGTCAGGGTGACACCATAATGGAAAAACATTTATTAAGTTTGGAACATCGAGAAACAGTGGCCATGATTAATAATTCAGTACCAATTATAATAAGAAGGCAGAGATTTTTATCATGTGAAACCTGTAATCGTCGTTTTCGGTATAATCTTCAACTTCGATTACATTCTAAAGAAACTGGTCATCCAGAAAGTTGGACAGCAAGTAATGAATATCAACGAATAATAAAATGTACTTTATGTCCTCAAATTTTGCGATCGCTGCTTGCATTGCAGCGTCATCAGTTAACCTGTCATAAATTGTCAAACACTAAAGATGAAGTATCAGCTCCATACTTTTGCTCTTTCTGTTCAATTAACTTTAAAACTGCTCAAGATGCTGTGCTTCATAGGAGGACAATAAGTCACAAACAGATTGTGAAAGAGTCCAAGTCTAAATCAGAAGTCATATCGGTTGTAAAAGAGTGTAAATATTGTCAACAAAAATTTAACAATCTGTTGGAATATAAGCAACATTTACTTCAAAATCATCCAGACTTTTGTCACAAGTAAGTAACGTTTTACATTATTCTATAAGAAGTAATCATTTATAATTGAAGCTTTTTTATTTGATACCTTTCAGGTGTTTGAATTGTAAAAAGTACTTCGCTTTATCTCAAGATTTAACAAAACATACTAAATATGATAAATGTCAAGAAAATACTACAAAAATGAGTGAACTAGAACTTATTAGTACAGTTGACCAAAAAAATTGTCCTGAATGTTCATTCGTTACAAAGTCTGAAGCAGAGTTTCTTTTTCATCAAGCACTGCACGCCGGTAATGTGGAGTTTCCTTCAAAACAAACGAATTCTCGTAAAACTGCTATGTTTCGTTGTCCCGTGTGCAAAAAAATCTTCACGAAAACTTCTCTTCGTGCTCACATTAGAAGTCATACTGGTGAAAAACCTTACAGTTGTTCCAAATGTTCTGAGTCTTTTTCAAAAAAATCTTCATTAAATCTTCATATCATCCAGTGCCAGTTATATGAGCTAAATGAGAAGAAAGTACGTGAACGAAAGTACATTTGTTTAGATTGCAACACAGCTTTTTATACAAAGTAAGTAATTTATTATATTCGATTAATTCATTCATTTTTTCAACTAATGGTCTTATAATATTTTTGAGAATAAAAATGTAAGTAAAGATGTTTCTTGAGGAACTAAAAATAAGACATTTACTGGAAAATTAATTTGATTAAAAAATAGATGTGGTGAAGTAGAAAATGTGTTGAGCTATTGAGATGGTATAAACAATTTCGATATTCATTTATACTGAAAAAAAAACAAACAATATAAGGATACTCGTTGATAGCAGCTTGTAAAGTTTCAACTCATTCTAGTATTTAACAGGCAGACATTATGGCTCTTGTAAGTATGTCTGGTCTGTTTCTACGAGTATGCATTAGGTCTAGTGTCTATGACTACACGTCGTTACTTTGCTGACATAAGTATTAAACCATCAGTATAGTGTTGAAACTGCTATAAAGCAAATGTTAACACCCTTTGCTTTATTAGTTCCATCTCTTTTTTCCATACTTATTTTTAAATTCACATTTGTCTGATTTTTCAACATTATCATTGTGACATATTGGTATCTTTAATAGCAACAGATGATTGACAACAAATAATTTTTTCTATATTAAAAAAATATTGAGGTGATAGAAATGATTGCAGCAAGAAAATTTTGAGGAATGGCAGAGAAAAAAGAAGTAGTATTTTATTAAATTTTATTTTTATGAGTTATTAAAAAGTATATACTCGAAAAGTGTTTCTTTGGATGAGTTGGCAGACCCATTCGTTAGCTCTTCAAGACAAGGCAAAGCAAATGAGAGAAAAAAAAAAGCACAAATGGAAATAAGAAGAGCGACTGCGCGGGGGCGCAGTAAAGGTTCAGAAAGAGAGAAAGAAAGAAGGTAATTACGCGATGGTCAGCTTCCGCGCACCCGATCGCGTCCCCCAATTCTGAGAATACGAGGCCAGTCAGGATGTATGCGCATATTCAAGATAGTATGTTACATACGCGCGCTACTGAGTCCTCAGTTTTACCCCCTCTTTACTCAACAAAGTCCAAAGAGTCACCTCTGGGCAGCTTCTTCTCTGTCTTCTCCATACTCTACGTGCGTTCCCTCAGGTATTTTACATATATGGACCGCGTCGTGGTGCGCACGTATCTTTTATCTTTCGTTGCAGTAATGGCGCTCCGCACGTCCGCCTCCTTACTATAAACCGCGAGTAAATACACTGAGATAGGCATACTGGGTGAGATAGGCGTAACTCTTAAAGATCATTCAACACCGCCATTAACTCATCAAAAAATTTAATTCATCACACATTTTTATGTGAATTACATTTATCGACTGGAACATTTTTAGCGACCATATCACTTGTATTTATAAAAATTTATATCATTACGAATTAATGAAAAAATTACCTCAATCACTACACTGAGAAGAAAATGGTAATTTAATCAATAGAAAAAATTTGAAGTATTTGCAATGAAATATTTTATTGGATTTAACAAGAGCTATTTTGATATTTGGTTCAAGATTGTGGTAAGTTTGAATACAAGTGACATTAGATTAATTCTTACTCTGTGAGATATCATAGATCTTAAAAAATTGATCAATCCAATAAAACACTAGATAAACCAGTACTCGGATAATTGTATTCAAAAGAAATTCAAGGACTGAGTATTCAAGGAAGAGATTAATGATAATTACCAAAAGTCATTTTTTGAATTTTTCTAAGATTTTTTTAAAATAGAATAATAATAACAAATTGCAAATTAACTCAAAACCTTTAACTAGCACAATAAAAATGTATTTTTTCAATGAATTATTTTAAGTAACTATCAAAATTGAATTTATAAAAATGTTATCATGTCGATTCTAAAAAAAATATTTTATTGCTATTATTCCCAATTTTTATTTTATCAATTGATAAAAATCTTACTCGTTCGCAGTAAACTCTCAGTATACAGAAATCATGAAAATAATTATTTTCCTAATAATGAATATAAATATTTGTCGATATTCATTGTCATGATGACCCTTGGAATAGTTCATCCTTAAACACGCGACTATTTATATTAGATTTTGCACCGCACGCTGTCAAATCTCCATACTGCACCCGAGAAACAATGTGACGCTGTTGCATATCATAAAGAGAGAAAGGGAAAATGAAGAGGATATAGAGAATGCATTTAAAAAGTGTTGGTAGCTTCGTGCTTCGCATAACCCTGCGTATACGTCTCATGAGCTCATACCAATAGTGTTTGGATATGGGGTACCACCCTTGGACGATTTGTGTATCAGTGTGTGTGTGTGTACATATTTATTCTTGTACAAGTATGGTATGGCACGCGGTAAGCATAGTCTCGCGTATGCAGACAGTTTAACAGTGACCGCCCCGCGAGTCCAGTTGTCGCGTGAAATATTGCCATTCATAAAATAAAACAGGCTTGTGGTCGAGAAAGCGTAGATATAACGCTTGCTAACCATTTGAAACTTCATTCTCTTCCTCTTCGTCTGCTCCTTTTCCATCGTTTTCAGCTATACACCTCATCCTGCCCTCCCCTACTGTTACATTTTCACCCTTCTACATACTCCGAAACCACAGTAAAGCTTTTTCCCTTCAGCAGCTTCTGAAATTCAGCCAAACCACTAATGTCTATAGGTGTTATGTAATAAATTTTTCTTTTTCTTCATTGGGATTCTATCAATGATGCTATTTTATTCGATTTAACTATTTATAGTTTAATTATTTTTTATCATTAATCCTTTGTGGCCTCATGTGACATTTTTACAACAAACAAACAATAATTCTACAATAATTAACTAACAACTATAATAACAATAATTAACAGATAATTAATTATTATCAATATTTAACAAATTAAATATTATTAAATTTCGAGAAATACGAGTTGTTTTACGTTTGTAAACTTATCTCATTATCAACATAATTTATTTTTTGAAGATCTTGGGCTACAAAGACAAACAGTCATCACGAACCTGGCTAATTTTGAACCTAGATTTAAATTAGTATAAAAAAATCTATTAGTAAAGTATGTATCATAAATGAACATAATAATAATATAGCATATTACATGGCAAATAGCAGGCTCACTCGCCATAGCCAAGTTATATCTGCAGAGCTTCAATTTATGCAAGCATTATCACAGGAGCTCTTCGTAGCAATTGAGCTCATGTTATAATATCGTTGTTTATTCCAAACCTCAACTACAAGTCGTTAACTACCTTTTATAATCTACAGTGTCTCCTTGTCGATCCTCCAATCTTCATATGGCGTGGTAGTTAATATAATATAGCTCAATTTATGACCATTTTTCTTGTTCTTGTATGATGTATGTTACATATAAAATTGGACAATCACTTGATATTGGTCTGAATAGCAAATAGACAACCATCACGGATGGAACGCAAAAAAAGTTGTTGATGAATCATCAGTGACATCAAGAAATATGGTAGAGCTAAAGAAGAAAAATGTTGGTTAATGATGAAACCAAAATGAATACAGAAAACACGCTGAGACGAAGGTGATAAAGCTTGTTTTGCGATTTAATATTTAGCGCAATCTTGAACATAACACTCATGTGTATTGAGAGGTATGAGAAGCTGACTAAGGTAGAGACAGGAAAAAAGATGAAGAGAGAGAGAGAGAGAGAAATACAGGTGCAGGGAGTATTTATCGAGACGGACAGACGGACCATGAGACTCAGGACGAAGGTGGGATTGAGTTATGACAGCGTTTGCTCCAGGGGGCCGGCTGAGTTCGAAAGCCCAAGCGGATATTTCTTATTCTTATTATTCCTATCTGTTCTCGCTCTCTCTCTCTCAGGGCTGCAACGTAGAGAAACGTCGGCCATGCATCACCTTCGGCTCAGAGTCTGGTCCTGCCTCTTTCGTTCCACCATCGCCGCCTCCTTCGCCATCATCGTCGATCCGATGCCCAGAGCTTGGATCCAAACGATCCCACCTTTGAGTCAAATCGTCGATTCCACCCACTCAAAAGCATCGATTATAATATGTCGGCTTGTGAATTAACATTCTCATTATTTGCTTCGCAATTCAAATAAATAATCAAAATGTATCTTTCCATGGTTAAGTATGTTCCATCATCAAAACATGTGACAATCTTGTGTGTATACAGCCTTGACCTTTGTTTCAAATATCTTTGGTTCATTGAACGAATACTCTCTTTGTTGCTTCCACTTGGTATTATTTTGTAATTGGTAGGCTGTACTAATTATTACTATAATCAAAAAATTACCTTTGTATTGTTGATTAATTATAATAATTAAATGTAATTAATAGTGTTTGTTGTGATGATGATCAAAAAAATGCTTTTTTTCTTTTAATTTTAAAATTGTTTGAGTTTATTCATTTTAATCGATTGATATAGACTTTCTCGAATATTATATTCGTCTACAGCCTACAACATTCCAATAAATCCCACCTCCAATGACATGAATCTCTCATGGAGGATACTATTAAGAGGCAATCAAAGGAGTAACGGCTTTGACCGTCGAATCAAGTGACTGAAGATGAATTTAAAGAACGAAAAAAACAACATTAAATTAAAAAAAAAATAAATAAATAAATAATACGGGAAATGAAGAGGATAACGAAGAACAAGAAGAAGAAAATGATGATGATGAAGAAGAAGAGAAGCATTGCGTCGCTGTAGAGCGGACTATATCGGAGAACCAAGCGACCGACAAGCGAAGGACCGGCCGACCAGCCATAAATACCTCAGCGCGTTCAGCCAATTAAAACAAATCATTTTAATGCGCAACCTTTTTAATTAATGCTCGCGTTCGTTCGCTCCCATCGCTCCCTTCAACCTACTCGTACTACATGCTCACTTCACTCGCCTCTCTTCATTCTCAAAATATTATTTCAAACTCCAAAAATGCTTCTTACCTTTGTTTTATTATCTACTTGATATCAAATAATATCAGTCAGCATAAATGTGCTCATTCCATAAATATTTATATTAGAGAAAAAAAATCACTGCAGTGTTATTATTATTCAAGTAAAAGTTAAAAATGATATTTTTAAATTGAATAAAATATTTATTTTTATTATCTATTAGTTAATTTATTTGTTGTTCTCTAAGTAGTGGTGATTTCATCATGATGTCTTGCCACGAATTATTGACGAGAATTGACTAACTATCGCTAGAAACATCCATAGAAATAGGTTTTTTTTTCTTTTAAATGAATCTGCCGTTAAAACGTAAATCACTCGATGACGGAGGTGAATTTATTGAAAGTGACCGCATCCGGTGCTTGCCTAATCAAATTCTATTTCAATAGCTTTCTCATCATACCTGTGACATTTTAAGGTGAATTATTGTCCACCTGTCTTACTTATCTTACACACATACACTTTATTATATATTTATTATCTTTATATGTATGCTTTAAGCCTGTATATTTTTATATATATATAAATTATTAAAAATAACGTATACTCATTTATTTCAGAAACAACTTACGACAGCATATGCTTCGACATACTGGTAAAGATTTCAAATGTAGTTTTTCGGGTTGCCCAACTGTTCTTCGAACTGAAGCTGAACTGAAAAATCATCAAGCTCTAATTCACTCTGAAAAAGATACTCATCGCAAGTTTCAATGCAACGAATGCTCTTATGCAGCTAAAACTAAAACACAACTCCGCAGGTTCAATCTAAGTTCTTTTATTTTTTTTTTCTAATTAAATTTTTCAATAAATTACAATTAATTGATTTGAGCTAAATGTACTGCAAATCTCAATTTTAGAAGTGTTTTATTTCAATGCACTAAATGTGTTTTAATATGACGTCTTCCATTTGATTAACATTGAAGTCACTTTTAATGCACTTGAACGTGTTTAAAGAGTGACTATAATGTTTATCGAATGGCTGAAGTCATTTTAAAACACATTTAGTGCTGAGGAAATGAAATTTCAATTTTTTAGAATTAAAATTTTTTAAGAAGAATTAAATAAACTATTGTGCAAGTGAAGAAATAATATTTCGGATTCAATGAAAAATTTATTAATATTAACTGTTATTATTATGAATTATTTTTGTTTGCAAAATATAGACTGCAAATCTCTGTAAATTAAAATAATGCACATCAAGTGTGTTTAATATTAAAATTTTATGTACAAACTATTGCATTTTTAAGTCACTATTTACTCGCTTTAAAGTGTGTTCACTTCTATAATTTATTTATAGAAATATAATATTAACCACACTTTATGTAAATTCTTTTAACACACTCTGAAAATCTTGGATTTTTTATAGGCATCAAATTCGTCATAAAAGTATTGGCAACGAAATTCAGCAACTGTCATGTTCCTACAAAGGCTGTTGGTTCACGACAAGATTTAGTTCCCACTTGAAACGACACGTTCGCTTACATACCGGCACTAAGCCATATAAATGTCCTCACTGTTCATATGCAAGCAACAATATAGTAAGTTAAAATCAAGGGATTTTATTTTTATATTGTTTCTCTTTCAATCTGTTGTTGTGTTTGTTTTATTTGATAAAAATATTTTTAGACATTTTGTTTTTTTTTTACTCGGTCTACTGGTTTTCACGTTACCTCCTCACCTCATCCCTGTACTACTTGGTGGCGTAAATTAAGCAAGGTACACCTTAATGTTTGGACCGCGCCGCCGCCACGATAAGATAACGAGTTAATTGTGCTCACTGGATGCCCACACACGCACGTCCAGTCATACTGCGGCCGGTATGCTAATGTCCTTTGAAGCTTTAGTTGGGATGCTTCTCGCATACGAGGTCTTCGTGTCTCTTTGATAGCGACATAAACTCATTCCAGTGGCTCTCACAGAATCCACCAATCCTATTGAGTTTCTAAATCATTTCTCGTCATATAGAAGATCTTGAAAGTTCAAAAATATTCGTGATATATTTTGTTATTAGTGAAAATAGTTGTTAATTAATAAGCAAAGAATGTGTTAAGCATGATACGATTTAATGAGACTCTCTCATTTCTTTTGCTCCCTCAAATGTAGTGTTTGCTGCGTCGACGAGTTTACACGCGCCACCTTTCTTGCTTCCTTCCTTCCTTCCTTCTTCCTTCCTTTGGTGTTATGATTTACCACAGATAGTTACACGCTTTTTGTACCACCTACACATATTAAAAGCCATACTACTTAATGAAATTGTTCCTTGTTATAAAAAACATCAATTATTTACTTAATTTTTCAAACATAACTAGAGTTTGTATCTAGCATTTATTATTTATATATTTATTAATATAAATAATATTTATAATAAAATATCATTAAGTTATTGTGAGATTGATATAAAATAATTAATAATTTGAACGAATGATTGCAGGAAAATTTGCGTAAGCACGTTTTATCAACGAAACTTCATCCTGGAAAAACAATTTATGAGTGTGATCATTGCAAAAAGAAAAAGAAGGATACAGCAGCAGTTTATGTAACGAATTTTTTAAAAGAATTGCGTGCTCATTTAATAGAAGAACATTCTGAGGAATTCCCAACGCTTGGTCATGCTAACAGTTATGTTGCTGGAATGTTTGGCAGTGATGGACAATCCACTCCGCACGAATGACTCAAAAAATTCACGGTATAAATCTTACGATTTTTAAATTCCAAAGATAATGACAGTTACCGGTTTAAGGTAAAAAATATTCATGAAACATCCAAGAATTATAGTGACAGTAATTTTATTATAACTTTAATACAACGTTGATGATGATAAAAATGATTTATTAAAAATGAAAATGGCATAAAAGACATGATTCATGCTATAAATTGTCAAAGAAATATATGTGAGTTTATGTTACTAGACAGTCACGAGTTGAGGTCGTAGAAGGTCTGTAGAGTGGTCGCGAAGGTCGCAAAAGTAATACTATAACGAGAGATGCTTAAATGTCCAATACTAGGACCTACAGGTAGGCTGATAGGTGTCGTAAGCCACACCATACTCTTACCAACAGGACTTGCATCCGGCGGGATAAAAAATTAAAGACATATCGAAGCGTAGTGTTGAATGTCAAGTGTGAAGGATAATTTATCGACTAATTAACGAGGATGTCCTTCATTACGAGTTGAAACAGTCGATGCACAAGTCTCTTTTTTTACCCTCATGTATTTTCACTGCTAATTCTTTCCTTTTCTCAACTCCCCGTACTTGTGAATAGTCTTCGACATTATTTAGCACCCGAATATTTACGACTAGCCAGTTTTCGGTCCTCAGAATCAAGTCTTCTTTTACATTTTTTTGCTGCGTGATAAGAATTGAAACATAACTTTCATTTTTTTTTGAGTCCATTATTAGATTATCATTTCCAATGTAATTATTTGAATACAATAATAAAAAGTTTGAGTAGTGAATATTTAAAAAAAAAAATTCCACTCTGTTCAAAATGTCTATATATGTGTATATATTTGTTAACTTGTATAAAAAAAAATCTTTGCAGCTAGGTAGCAAGCTAGAGTGAATTATTAAATATTTCTGTAATTTATAAATGAGAGTCAGGAAAACTTTCAAAGTCAAGGAGGTGGCGTTGAAACAAGTTGGTTAATAAAGATATAACGAGGTCGTCGACACCCTCATTTCATTTCTCTCAGCTTCTAGTAGCGGTGGATAGTTTCTCGTTGCTGGTTTCAGTGCCTTTCTCGTGTCTCGTTGGCCAAATTCTACGGATTTCATTCCCCCAATTACACCTGAAAATTTGTCCCCAAAGACTGCGACTCTCTACGAGGGTACGCGGTCTTGCTCGCTGCGGTATCGTAAATACTAACCACAAGACAGTGGGTGGAACACACAAACCGCGGGGGTTGATATGCAGTGGTTAGTACATATGCATTAATGTCGTAAAAACACACCGAAAATGGTGTGACTGTTCAAGAATTCTTTGTGTAATTTTTTATTTGATTTTTAAAATACTATCGTCAATTGTCGAAAATTATTTTTATGAACAATGAAAAAAAAATTTACTGTGAATAAGTAATTAATATAACAACAATTTAAAAACCACAATAATAACAATAATTTACAATAAAAGTAACGATCATTGATTAATAATGAATTATTATTAATATTTAAAAATTCAAATATTTTTAAATTTTTCGAAATGTTTTTTATAGGGGGAGATAGGGTGAAGTGAAATACCAAGAAAAAAATAATAATTAAAAAATTAATCAATACATTAAAAAATGTTTATAGTTTTAACTGTATTAATAAATTGAAGAATTAATAAAAAAAATGCAAAAAGTATTTTTAACTTATTTTAATAAATTAGTGAATTTTCTTAAGTGTTTCACTTCAGCCTCTTTTCCCTTTACATGGTTTTTTATAAATATTTTTTCATTGAATTGATCATTTTTTTCAAGATCTAACGTGTCTCAAGAAGCAAAAATTGAGGTCGTATAATTGAAATAAAAAAATAAACAGCCAAATGAATTTTTTGGCAAGTTTGAAAATGCTTTAACGACTTCCATAATCAAAAATCAATTATCAATTATTGTAGTTTTTACAATGACACAATTGGGAACTGTTCACTATTCTACCGATTAAACCAAAATTCTCTTATTTTTAGAAAACTTTGGTTTATACACAATACAAAAAAGCTTTAAGTTGGAAGAACTTATTAATTTAGATATTAATGATTAATTATGATATACCTAATTAATCAATGTATAATATAGCGATAAGATAGCGTAAAAAAATTATTTTTGTTTATAATTAGATTTTGTGTATTATTATCTATTATAAAATTAATTCAACTATTGTAATTAATTATAGTACTATTGGGATAATCTTTTGTACGTTATTTAAAATTTAGAAAAAAATAGAAGGTCCATTGACAATCCATACTACCTTAATCTTATGTCGCTTGTACTTAAACTTACCACAATCTTGAATTAAATTTCAAAATGCGTTTTCCAAGCAAAATGTCGTTAAATTAAATAAAACATTGCAAATATTTTAAATACAGTTTTTTTATACAGCGAAAATTTTTTCTCAGTGTAAAAACTGATGGAAAAAAGACACTAAAATAAAGTTATGTAAAAAGGGTTAAAATAGTAAAGAAGAAGCATAATAGCTAGAAGATCATGGATTGTCGAAGAAAATGGAAGTTGGAGATGTCAAGGGCTGTTGGGATTGATGGCCACCACCTTTAATGCCGTTTGTATGTAGCGGCGCGCGTAAGCGCCTCGCCTTACAGTAATTAGCTCAACAAACGCGCCACCCTGTCCCATCAATTGCTACCCTACGCTCATCCTCACTTTCTTCGTCTCACTCTCGTCTGCGGCGTTAGCTGCAAGATCTCGCCTGTATCTTGAATTAAACATTCGATGCCTCCTGTCTTGTCGGCGTGCACTTGGCCGGAATGCAAATATATAAATACACTTAACTGCTGCACGTCCTCTTTCCCTCTTTCTCTTGTTGGTCCTTCTTCGGACGATATATACACGCTAAAGCCACTATGTTTCGCAAACTCGGCGTTATCCATGCTTGGTATGGAATTAAAGGACGCTCCGGAACTTACAGAAACTATATTATACCTGTCGTTTTTCAAGAAACTCGATTAGCCTTGCTCTTCTCTCCAGCTCACCACTGTCATTTTATTCTGTTACGTTATCATTGATTATCACTTTTGGATATTCGATTTCATTTTTAATAATATCGATTGAAAGAAATATTCCGTTTCAGTTTTGTACTTTTTTTTATAATCCACATATTTATGATACTGAAGAGCTGTGAATCTTGAAATTTTATGATTAACATTAATTTTGTTTTTTCATATAACACATCCTCAAGTATATTTAATGTAAAATTACCACTAACCAACTATAGGATTCAACACTCTCGAAAAGGAATTGAAAATGTATTTAAATATCATTATGATTGCTGTGAGACTACGACAATGACACCTGACAATTGTAAAATAATTGTATTTATTCAAAAAACCAGAACAATTACTTATTGTTAAATAATAACAGACTGTAATTCATCTAAATGAAAATAAAAAAATATATTAGTTTACGATTGAGACTGGAGTCGAGTTTAATTTCAAACAATTTTGAAAAAGTGTTTATTAGGACGATTGATAAAAGTGTGGTAATTTTGAAAAGATCTTTAGTTACTAACAATTAAAGTAAATCCTTATACTTATATGTATTTATTATTTACTCCATTTATTTATTTTTATCTTCATAAAAGCCTATGCATAAATATTAACTTTAATTGTTAATAACTAAAGAAGTTTTCAAAATTACTACACTTTTATCAATCAATAATTTTACATTAATGACGAAATATATTCATACAAATGTCTAAAGATTTTAAATTCTCAACTTGTTCACGTAAGCAAATAAACTTGTAGTAAAAAACTATATTGTTGACAATGTAAAAAATGTAGAAAAAAAATATGTAAGATTGATGGATGATAGTAAACGTTGTAAAGTCGTGAAAGAGGCAGCGCGTCTCTTTCTTTCTTTGGCAAACGAGTGGAATCCCCAAAACGCCAGGCCTCCCGCATCCCCTTATAAATCCATCGTTTTTGTTTTTATTTATTTATTTTTTTTTTCGCTATATCCTTCGAGGTTCTACTCGCCTTCAAACCGAGTGATTTAAGGAAGATCGTTGCGTGTGTATCACGTCGGCTCATCCTACAACGTTTATACTTCTCATCTTATGGTGTGTTGTTTTTATTCGCTTCTCATTCGATTTTTCGGTTCACTAGATCATATACTTGAAAATTCCAGTATACTTTGAGCATTTACATATACAACCTATACATCCGGTTAATAATTTTTTACTTTACAACACAAAGAAGGAAATATCAATCTCATCAGTAGTAAGATATTTTATGGAAGTTCATTATTTTTTATTTAATAATATGATTTAATTTCATAAGATGATCCTCAAGATCAATTGATGATTGTGATAAGTAGTGGTAGCTATTGTTGGTGTATAAAGGAGAAAAAAAAATTTAAACGATGCTGAAGATATTTGACCCAAGGATGTGATCAAGAATTGCTTGCTTACTGATTGAAGCTACGCGGCCACGATAATGTATGCGTCGTGAATTCAGGGGACGATTCCAAGTGCGATACCGCAGGAGGCGACGTTCGACCTCTCCCTTCACTTCTTCTCTTTCTCTTCCTCTTGTTGCTCATGCATTTCTACGTAAACTCGCTCATCTGATACCATCTTCCAGCCCCTGTTTGCGCCTGTTTCACGTGAACTTAGATGGCTAACTTATTGGACTTTGGTGCGTTTTCACGGCTCTTTTCGTATTACTCTATCTCTTTTTGTCAATACTTATCTACTTGGATTTTTTTTGTGCCGTCTTTATATAATCTTTCATTTCGAGTTCTAATGTCATGACGTAAAAGATATAAGAAGCTCTGGACATTCGTTGTTCTACCACTCAACGATACTCCGATGCATGCATGATTACCTAGGTAAAAAGTCTATGTTCTCCACGATTTAACAAGACCGGCTACTCATTATAATGTGCTGTGGATAATGGCCTATTATGTCGGCAGTGTATAAACTTTCGATATCATCATGAACCTTAGTTTCATCGAAGATCTTCCTTGTCTTTTCAAATATTTCAGTTTTTATTAAGACTTTTTACATTTCATAACTCTTGATTGTATTAGCATACACCGGATAGAATTCATTAAAACTATTCCTTGAAAAATTATATAATATTTTCTATTTTTATTTAATATGATAGATTAAAAAATATATTTAATAATTATCTTGTACTCGCAACTTTGTCTGTGTAAAATTTGAACAAAAAAAATTTACAATTCCATTAAATATTTTTCAATAAAAATAATCATGGTGTTTAAAATAACTGATATCCACCTCTCTTGATATTTAAAATCAAATTATTTCCCAGAAAGTTTGAGAATATTTTAAAATTTTTGAAAAGCTTCATTGTAGAATTTTTTTCAGAGCCAAAAAAATGAGAGGACCGCGACAGTATAAAATTACTAAAATTTTATATGAAATCATATTTTCCAAAGTGACCAAAAAAAAAAATGAAAATGGATGTTACAACATGGTTGTAAATTCCGACTCTTGAACGGAAGCAATTGATAAATTCTGACGGACCATCGAGAGGCCAAATCAAGATGTATAGAATTACATGTCCAAGTGGAAATGGAAAATGTCGAGATAATTTAGCGAGGAACAACAGTGTGCATACAACATATACTACTTGGACCTGGCCCGAAGGGAGGTCATCGAAAAGGCCACGGT